ATAATAATCCAAATAGAATTACTGTTTGGACTGATGGAAACAATAATAATACCAACTTTATTATTAATTTTCCAGCTGCATTTCAATCACAAACACTTGTAGAGATTTGGACTACAGAATTGGAAAAATATCAACAATGACCTGGAGAATCTGTAGATGATTATGCTGCTACTTTAATTGAGTTATATAGAAGAGTTGAACATGGTGGCTTTGATTTTCCTAAAGCTCTTAAAGCTCAAAGATTTGTAAATAGACTATTGTCTGAACTTTACCTTAATGTTAAGTCTCACAATAACCAAACTTGAGATGGTGCTGTTAATAGAGCAAAAGCTTATGAACTTACTTATCAAGATTACAATGCAGTGAACTCTTATTTTAACAAATATACTGCTCCTACTACCAACACTCAAACAGATATTTTGAATCAAGCAATTCAAAATTTAACTCAACAAATTCAACAACTAAATTTGGGAAATAGACATAATAATTCAAAAAACAATTATCAAAATCCTCAATCAAATGCTTATTTAAGACCACAGCAAATACAGCAACCTTAGCAAGCTCCTGTCCGATCTACTTATGCTAACACATTTGTATGTTATCAGTATGGACAACCTTGATATACAAGAAATTGCTCTCAATTACAAACAGGAATATTCCCTACTGCAATCCCTACAACCAATCCTTTATCAACTATAAGTAACACTGTACCTCAAGCTCAAACTCAAACACAAGCTCAAGCTCAAGCACAACCCCAACATCAAGGCAATCAAGCTACACAACTTCTTCACCTTTTGGCTCAACTAATTTCTCAAGATAATAATGGATTGGTACAACAACCTATTCATCAAATCTCAACACAACCACAACAACCTATTCATCAGATCTCAACACAACCACAACAACCCATATATGCACCATACATTTTATCTCAAGTTCAATCTCAGCCTCAACCCCAAGTACCGATTTAACCTTCGATTTAGCCACAAGTCCAGTCACAACAACCTTTAAACTAGAAGGCCAACATCCGGAGGGTGATGTTGCTAGCTCTTCTTCAATTTCCTCAAATATTGTATTTCTAAATACCTATTCTGCAAAAAGACAAAGGACAGAAGAAATTACAAAAGAGCAAGAAGAAGAACAAGACAAGAGTAAAGAAAAAGTAATAAAAACAACAAAAACTAAAAAGAAGAAACAGCCATTATTACCACCAGTTCATCATATAATTAAGCCCTATACATCTCAGCAATTTTTTGATTAGGCAGCAAATATTACAAATAGACAATTATTAGCTATGAACCCCAAATTCAGCCAAGTAGTTATTAAACACTTAAAGAAGCCATAGATCAAGCCAACTTGAAAACAAAATTAGATAATAGAAAGCAAAAACTAGAAAAATCAAAAGCAACAGCATTATCAACTCATTAAAACCAGCAAGATCAACCTATGGAGAAACTTGTATCTCAAACCCAGGATGAACATTCTACAGCTCTTTACTGTGATGCTTCTATTAAACATATTCGCTTTTTTCTTATTATTGACTCAGGATCTGCTGGCAGTATTATGTCTTTTAACTTGTTAAAGAATTTAGATATGGAAATTACACAAGCTTCAAAAACAGTGATGATTAATATAAATGAAGAGAGAAGAAGGCCTCTTGGAGCAGTAACTGATATTCCTTTTAAAAGTTAAAGGATGTCTTATACCTTTTAATGCTATTATTATGAATCTAATTCTTATAGTGCTATAGTAGGAAATGATTGGTTATGGAAGACGAAAGCAACTATAAATTATAATAAGAATATTATGATCTTATATTAGAATAACCAAACTATTGAAGTACCTGTTGAATCAAAGCAAGCTCCACATCATGAAGTCAGTATTGAAGCTCCTGAAATAAAAAAAGAAAAAGAAGAGGATGAAGTAATCATTGAGGATAGTGATGATGAAGATAAGAGTAAAAAGAAATATGAATCTGATATTGAAACACCAGAAAATGAAAGTTTATTTTGTTATGCAGAAGAAGCTAAAAGAATTGAAAAGGAGATCATTAAACAAGTATATGAAAGAGAGTTCTATTTTCAGGAAAATAATAAACCAGAAAAAATCAAAAAAGGAGTTTACAATTTTGAAGAACTAGAAAATAATCAAGTTCATGCCTTTACTAAATTCATGAAGAATTATGAGGATCTATTTGTTTGGGAACCTTATAAATTTGGACAAACCAAAGTTCTATCTCATGCTATACAAACTGATAAACCTTCTATCAAGCAGAACTTTTATCAAACATCTTACAAGAACCAAAAATTTATTGAGCAAGAAATAAAAGAAATGCTAAAACAAGGATTGATTAAACCTTCAAATAGCCCTTGGACCTCTCCTGTAGTTGTTGTTGAAAAGAAAAATAGAAAGCTATGATTATGTGTAGACTACAGAAAATTAAATGCAGTTACTAAAAGAACAATTATCCATTACTGCAAATTGATGATATGCTAGAGGCTTTAGCATATTCAAGATAGTTTACTTCTTTGGACATGGCTAGTGGATTTTGGCAGATACTTATGAACCCTTAAGATCAAGAAAAAACTGCATTTATTACACGATTTGGTACTTATGAGTTTACAGTTATGCCTTTTGGATTATGCAATGTGCCAGCTACTTTTCAACGACTTATGAACAATATACTATGAAATCTACTTTGGAAATTTGTTGTAGTGTATATTGATAATATTAACATAGGATCAAAAACATTTGAAGAGCATTTGGATTATTTAAAAGAAGTCTTTACTCGTTTTAAAAATACTGGACTTAAGCTTAATCCTGAAAAATGTTTCTTTTTCAAAAAGAAACTTCCTTTTCTTAGATATATTATTAGTGAAGATGGAATTCAAACAGATTCAGAGAAAATTAGAGCAGTACAGAATTTCACTATACCTTGAAATACTACTCAACTGCAAGAATTTTTGGGATTAGCTTCATATTACCGAAAATTCATTAAGGATTTTTCCAAGATTGCTGAACCTTTAAATCGACTGCTAAAAAAGAAAATGAACTATATCTGGACTACAAACCAACAAAATGCATTTCAAAAGCTAAAACAATATTTTACTACATCACCCATCTTGGCTTATCCTGATTTTGAAAAACCATTCATTATATATACTGATGCATCAACAATTGGGCTTGGAGCAATTCTAGCACAAAAGAATAATAATAATAGAGAACATATTATATTCTATACAAGTTGATTACTTAATACCCATAAGAAGAACTATTTAGTTACTAAATTAGAGTGTCTAGCAGTAATTTGAACTATTAAACATTTTCATCATTATTTGTATGAACAAAAGTTTACTATTGTTACAGAGTAGTAGCCTTCTTAATTTACTCTATAACGACGACACGGCACAGGGAATCCTTTCGTAGGTAT